TGCCCTGGGGAGCCTGTTCAGTGCCCAGCCACCCTCGGGGGAAAGAACCTTTTCCCTTTTCCTGATATCCAACCTAAACCTCCCCTGACACAGCTTCAGGCCATTCCCTCAGGTCCTGACAGCAGGAGTGTGGTTCCTTCCAGAAGCAGGAGAACTGAGGCAAAGCACTTGGAGCCCTCTGAGCTGAGCACAGGTGCCTGCAGAGGACTTGTCATCATCATGTAGTCATTTACAGCTGCAGTCATTCATAGCTGTAAACTCACTTTTATCTTGCAGCAGCATCAGACAGATCTGTACACCCTAAATGGAGTCATCCCATCCAGCAATACATCCCCTTTCTACTGATGATTCACGTAGCTTTTAACCAAACCAAAGGAACCCTCTTCGTCTAAGACATCAAATAAAGGCAGTGAAGAACTTTTAGTGGTTTATGAACTTCTCTGAAGGTTGTGTCTCAAATTCAAGCGTAGCAGACTGCTCCCAAGCACCAACAGCACCTGAGCTGCCACAGAAACAGTGTGGAAACAGGCATGAGGCCAGCTGAGTCTGGCTGGAAAGCAAAAACCTGCTTTTAGGAAAACTGGGAGGAGTGGCTGGCACTTGCTTTTGTTCTGGACTGCCAAGCCATCACCATAAGCCTTTCACACATCTCTCTGTTTCTCTCCATCTCTATTGAGCTCCATCACTTGCCCAAGAAAGTGTCATTAAAACTGTACCACACAAAAAGAGCTGTTTGACCACCATCCCCTGAAAAAAAATCAGTTTTGTGAAACATGTTGATTGGCAAATTCTTTGCTTATAACTTCTGCTCGGGCTGCTGGCTGAGCCAAGGGCAGGGCTGACCTGGCTGATGTGGATTTGCATCTTTAATTCCTCTGTTAACATGAAGCATATGCTGAATGATTTATTGCACAATTGTGACTTGGGTGGTGGCCATGGGAAGAATTTTGTCCAAAACAGGAGGAAAAGTTGATTGTTCAGTGATGGGGCTCAGGACCAGCACTTGAATGTCCTTGCAGCCTTCAAAGATGTGGTGGCATTCATGGGCAGTGCTGTTTGCAGAGCAGTGGAGGTGTCCAAGCATTTACTGCAGGTGCTTCTCTTTTATAAATGTCACACCATGCCACTGAAATCTCAACCACCAATGTTCTGTTCTGCTGGGATAAATTAATCCTCTAATTACATTTGCAAAAACACCTCAGGAAATTTGTGCCTGTTACAACACAAATCACCAGTTCTTCCCAAGCAGGCTCTTCCAAGGAAGCTGCTGTGGGACTTCTGCCTTTTCCCATGCAAGGTGCAGGCAGCATCAAACACATTTGAGGGTTCAGTCATTCCTTGGTGAAGTAGATGCTCTGTAGTGGTGGCCAGAATGACCACAGACATATTTTAGCCTGTCTTTCAGCACTGTGAAATCCATTTAGCCATTCAATAAGGATGTTTTGCACCTCTGATGTACAACAGGATAATCTGTGGAGAGTTCTGGAAAGACTCAAAGTAGAGAAAGTCATCAATGGATTAACCCATGATAATATTGAATTAATTTTTCCATAAAGGACTCACAAAGTAAATTTAGAGCTCAGTCAGTGCTTCCATGCTGGGAAACAGAAATAACAAAATAAAAGATGGAAAATGCTACTTCAAAATTTGTGATGAAGATGAGGGATGAACCCAGAGCATCCTTTTCCCTGAACAGACATCTCCATTATGAATCCCAAGGAAGACAATTCTTTAGCAGCTCAGCAGGACCAGGCAGAGTGGGGGATCCTGATGCCAATCAGGATTCTAATGGCTGAAGAGCCAAGGGAGTTCAGTTCCACTTCCAAAATGAGAATTTCCCCTTCTACCCAGGAGATGGCACTAAGGCATTCAGGTAAAAAGCATCACTTCAGCCTTAGTAAAAACCTGGTTTTTCTGAAGTTGCACACTGTGGGGGGAAGCTGCAAATTTTTACTTTCACTGGGTTGTGCTTCTTGTGATGTAGCTGAGTGTTCTGAGAGGGAACATGTTTCTGATTGTCCCTCTCATGGCTCCAGTGAGTTCTCCCCAGAGCAGAGCAGCCTCTATCCAGGGATGTTCCTCTGGTTTGGACACAGAGAGGCACCAAATACTCTGAGGAAATATGGCACAACCACAGCAGTAATGAGGCAACAGGATCCTGGAAAACATCTCCTCATCTCTACCAGCCACTCCCTGACTCATGCCCAGCTTGTTTCTCTGCGTTGTTTCAGGGTTTTTCTCTTGGATTTTGTTACTTCTGTAAAACCTGGTTCCATGTCCTTTTGAACCCTGTTGAGCTCATGCCTGGTGTCATCTTGGTGCTGCAGAAAAAAGACTTCTGAACTTCTCGTCTCTTTTTGACCCCAGTGCTCTTCAGTGTTAACCCTGTGTCACTCACATGAACAGGATCCATCCACTGAAAAGCCCTGGATGCAATTTGAAAATGAAAATTGAAAACCTGATTCTGTGTCTGCTCCCTTCTGCCATCTGGATATATTTGCATGCAGCCTGAATGTCCCTGCATGCAGCAGTGACTCCTGGGGAGGTGTGAGAGCCTTTTGGTGTGTTTGAACTGCCTTGGGACCATCACAGTTTCCATTCCCAGGGAGCTGGGATGGGGGAGAAGCACTAACAGCAATCACTGCCATGACACACAGACCTGTATTTGGCAGGGACAATGAGGGCTGGAGAAACAAAGATTTGAATGACAATTTTGGGAAGAGGAATGGCAGGAAATGAGGATACAGCAGGCTGGATTCTTCCTGGGGGCTGAACTTTCAAAAGCTGCCTCTCTGAGCCTGGTCCCCAAATCTGAGAAGTACCTGAGCCAGGATGCTGCCAGAAAAACCAGGAAGGACATTTATCTCCAACACCTGCAGCTTCTTTCCTTCTCCCTGGCACAAACTTAAGGACCCCTTTAGCAAACCCAGCATCCATCTGCCTGATTGAATATCCTCATTAGTGTTCCTGACAGCACAAACCCAAAGTTCTTCTCCAGCCATTTTTTCCCACCGTGGTTGTGATTAAAATTTATCAATATGCTTTTTCCTAGTGATATTACCTTGTATGCGTGCTCTGAGAACTTGATATAGACACAGCCCCCATCAGTGCAGCAAAACCCAGCAGAGCAGAGTGGAAATCAGTTTGAGGAGCCCAACTCCAGCATGGGAAGACAGGAAAATTATACTTTTTTCATAACAGAAAAATATCAGTAAGGCCATGGGGTTAATTATAAGTGGTGTAAGAGCACACATTTCCCTTAAGAACATCTCAATTCTCATGGTCTTGTTTTCCTCAAAGAAGTCAAACTCTGTCTGCTCTCTGATCTAAGCAAGTATTCTTCCCTATTTTTTAAGTTAAAGGTGGTTCCATTGTTTCTGTCCTCCAAAATTGCTACTGGTCTATTTCACTTAGCTGCAGTGGAAATCCCAAATGCTGCATGAGCTGTGGTCAGCAATGCCCCACACCAGAGCAGCTTTGAGAAACACTGGCCCATTCTACTTCCCTGTATTTTCTGCTTGGAGCTTCCCTGTATCATCAACTTGTCTGCCAGACATCATTTTGCTAAATCCTGCAGAGCTTAGATGATGAACTCCTTGGGGCAGGGACCAGTGTGCTGCTGAGTCTACACAGGTCCTGTCACCAACGGTCTGAGTATAGTTAATATTACTGTTAAGAACAAAATTAGTTGTTTTCATTATTTTTGACATTTTAGCTGTATCTGTTAAAAATGTCTTGTTTATCTCTCAATACTGCAAGGATGTCCTTTAAAAGGAATACCTTTTAGGAGTCAGGGAGAGGTTTCTCTACACCACAGACTCTGGGATAATTTTGGCATCAATTTAGAAGACCCATTCAGGTGACTAAAGCCAGAGCAGAAGGGCTGTCAGCCTTTTCCAGGTCTGGGTTCGGCGGCTCTCCATTGCCATCTTCAGGCTGGGAGAAGCCTTGAGCCTTCCAGAAACATAAAAATCCCGAACGGACACGGCAAACTCAATTCCCGTGTGCCCAGCATTAGCTGAAATTGATGGTCAAAGCCTGGAATAAGTTGTTAAATGTAAAGGAGGGGAAGGAGCTCTGCAAGGCTGGTACTCAGCTGCCCTGGATAACACAGGGTATTTCCCTCCCTGTAAGTGCACAAGGTTTTTTTTTTAACACATTGTTGTGTGTTAAACACCAACAATGCTGTTTAACACACACTGCTTCTTGCTGAGAGTCAAAGTTTTATCATCAAGTTTTCTTTAAAGTACACCAATTGAAACTGTCCAAGTGATTTTAGCTCTGCAACCTCCGTGGTCCCCACAAAAAAAAAAACTCTTTTCCTGACAATGATAAAAGCTGAGGTTCATGGGAGGTTTTAATCATAATTTGCACTTAAAGAAGTCTTTGCCAAACATTTCACATCTGACAGGCACAGTGGTGGGTTTGGTAGTGACGAGGTTTCCAAAACTTTCGGGATATCTGATGAGCAATATCACACAGGCAGCTTGGAGGGCCAAAGAGCTGTAATCACAGAACAACAGGGGTAACACATCCTAAAAGAAATCAGAGAAATGTGCAATAATGGAGGTGTCCTGGTCCAGCAGGGCCAGCCTAGAAGAGGCTCCTCAGACCCAGCATTGTCACCCAGTGAACATCTCCATGCCACTCCCCCACCTCTCCAGTGTGCAAACAGTGTCTGACTGTTTTGGTGAAAAATATCCTCCTAATTAGATCTGGTTGGAAAATCATTTTCTAGGAGCCCAGAAAATCACAGAATGGTTTTGTTTGGAAGGGACCTTTGAAGGTCATCTCACCCAACCCTCCTACACTGAGCTGGGGCAAACGCTGCTACTCAGAACACTCCAGCAGCCGAACTCTCAGGTCTCATGGCACTTTGTACCAGGTCCCGTGACTGCTTATACTTTCTCCCTCTGCCTCAGTCCCTGAAATCCCAGCTCTCAGGGCCAAAATGGATGATGCTGGTGCTTACCACAGCCACCTTGGCACCACTCAGTTACCGGCCAGCTTCCATCGCGGCGTCCATCGCACATCCTTCCCAAAGGGCAGCCACTGGGCAGAGATGGGAGAGGACCAGTCCAGCCTCTTCAGGAAGATGCTGTAGCTGTCTCCATACTCAGTAACCCAGCGGCTCCTGCAGAGAACATGGAGAAGGGCATGAGGAGAGCACCTCCACCCTGTGCTTCGTGCACCGGGACAAGGGACCTGCCTCCCCCTCTGCGGTGTTCCACCCAGCCAGGAACAAAAAACACATTCAGGTGGGATGGGGGAGAGGGGGAACAGCCTGTGTCCATCAGGAATGGGGCAGATGCTGGCTCCAGGATCCATCTCCCACCTGGACCAACCATTACACAGGTGCAGTCTCCACCCCACATACCACTCCAGGATCACAGATTAAAATCTGCAGTGCAGAGCTGAAATATATGTGTGTGTTCGGGGAACGTGGGGGGCATGAGGCAGCAGGGAGGAATTGTCTTTCCAGTGAGAAATGAGAGCTCAGGAGCAGTTTATGCCTGTTTGGTTCATAGTGTGCAGATGAGTCACGTTGCAAACAGCTCCTGCCCTGTTTGATTTGAGAGAGCCCTTTCCCAGGGGAAGCCTGGGCATGGAAATGATGAGACATGCCTCCTGCCTCAGCCCCATGGGGATCTTCTTTCCACAGGGATGAGGCTGCCCCAGGAGTTGTCTCCCCACTCCTATCAACCCTGCTTTTAAATTTTTCAGGAAAAGGCTGATCAGGCTTTGGAAGTGGATTTGTCCCCGAGGGAACTTCCTTGGGCTCATTGCATAACACGGACAAGGAGAAATACGCTTGAGAAATACCTTCCAATTCCAAGCAGCTCCAAAACCTCCATGACCTACTCCTAGCCTATCCCCCACTCCCAGCAGCCACCCTCTCCTCCCCATCCCACCTCTCCCTTACTCATTGAAGCGGATATCTTCAGGGAAAATGGGAGAAGGCCTTATCTCCCCTGTGTACAATCCAGCATAGATTCCTCTATGGGGCTCGAAATCTTGCTTGTAGATACTTTTCCAGTCAAGGTCAGAGCAGTCTAGTGAAAGAGAGTCCAAATAATTTAAAGACTTTTTTTGGATCTCTGTCTCCTGTGTTGCACAGTCTGAGTGTTCCCCCTTCCCCTGAGCTCCACTGGCTGTTTGTGCCTCCAGCACTCCTGTTGGAGTTACCATGATGAAGGGATTAACCAAGGGAAAATGGAGGAATTGCTTCCTTGGTGTAGATAAGGCCATTTAGATGAGATTATTCTGCCCTTTTCTATAGCCTGTTGTGAGGGAAGCCACACAAGGCAGACCTGGAAATGACATCTTGTGATCTTCCTGTCTGGATATTGACTTGTCACCTGGTATAAATTTTCCCATATTGTCTATTTTCTTTTCCATCCTGCCACTCATCAGGGACTAAACCAAGGAAGAGATTCATGGCTCACTTAACCCCTAACTGAGGACCATCACATCTGCTGTAATATCCTCCCCAAAAATCCCTGTGGGAGCTGGTTTGAAGAGGTACCATTTCCCTTCTGACTCTCCAGAGATGTCTTATCTGTGTGTGAACAGCTTGGTGTGTCTGTCTGAGCAAGCAGATCTAACTGGGGATAAACATGCAGGGAGGACACACAAAGAGGAGCCGCCCATTATAGAGAGATTTTCTGGGTATTTTAAAAATGGCACATTCCTATAGTGAGTAATTAGCAGAGTATTTTTGTTGTTATCACTGAGGCTGAGGTTACAGGTGTCTCACAAGCGCATGGCCCTGTCAGGCTGTTAATGCAACCCAGCAGCAGCTCCTGTCTTATGATATTATTTCCAGGAGGCCACATGGAGCAGGGCTGTGATCCATGGGATGGGCTGTCTGGAAATTGGGGGGAAAGAAACACCATTACAACACTCTTCTAGAAGATAACTGTTTTTCTCTGCCCTGCTTTCTCCCCACCGATGGGCAGATGGTTACAGGAGATCTGTGAACCCTTCCTATGTCACTCACTTTCCCTTCACCCTCCTCAGTCTCTGCTGGAATTATATTAAAACACATAAAACCAGGCCTCCATCCACTGACCTTGCATTAAAATACATGAGCTCCGGTTCTTGGTTTTGTATTTATCAGCATTGGACAGCACTTCCTTGTACAAATCCTGGGCAAACTGCTGGTAGGTGATGACAGGCGGCGGCGCCCTTGGCTCCAACACCTCTGAGACACGGGAGGAGAAGAAGGTGAATTGGTCAGCAATCACCATCAACTACTGACCCAAACCATACCCTTTGGACAGGGTAAGTTGGAGTCCCAGCTGGCAAAAATCAGGGGAGACCCAGCCACTGCAGCAGAGCTTTGCTGAGGTGCATCAATTTTAGTGGTTCATGGCTCAAGTAGGGGAAGGATTTTTGTTGGTGCAAAGCAAGGGGAAGGAGCCCACTGTCTCCACATTGCCCTGGAGTGCTAAAAGGAGACCCTCTGCAGCAGGTCTGTGTGTGAGTGCACTGCTGGCATACACAGGGGAGAGCAGGAAGAGGAAAGCCCACAGGAGTTTTGCCATTAGCATAAGACAGCTTCAGATGGGCTTGGCAAGGAGATCTTTGCAGCCCTCAGATGTGAGTGGAGTCCATATGGAGACACATCTGTCTGAGCTGCTTGGCCAGACTCTCCTTCTATTGAGTGGAGAGGGAAAACCCACCAGGGTTTACTTCACCTCATTGTCAGGGGGGCATTAAGCTACAGGACATGGCTGTGTCTTTGCTCCCCTCTGATCATGAAAGGATCCAGGCTCAGGCATCCCACACTAGGAGAGATCAGCTCAGGGAACAGAGAGGGCATCCCTGGCCATGTCTCCTGTTTGCTTCTGGAGCACTGCTGAGCAATGACACCCTCTTCCCTCTCAAGCAGGAACTCAGAGAATGGCTGAGCATGTCAGAATGATGCTTGGTGACCACTCCTTTTGTTTTCTTGACTTCCACGAGTATTTTAATCCATGCAAGTAAGATGTTAAATGGTGTGGCTGAGGGCTGGCTACCAGCACATTTGCTGTCAGACAGGTACTGTTAGCAGAAAGGTTTTTTGAACCACCCAAACCCCTCACACACAACCAGAGCCTTTTTAACCCCCGCACTTCTGCACTGTGAGGTTGACTGCATCTCCCTCCATCCCAGCAGAGCTGTGAAGATAAAACCCTTAGAGACCCTTGCTAGAAGTGGCTCTTCATGCACCAAGATGTTTCTAGAAACCCAGCTCCCTACACCCATGCTTTGGGCTGGCCTGGGAGCTGCACATTCATGGTGACAGGGCGCTGTGCCCATGTGTGGACCCTCGCCAGCTCAGCCCAGCACCGAGGCATCATCAGGATGCTGCCATCCATCCATGTGTGTCCAGCCAGCACAAACCAGGGGCTGGGGGCCTGGCAGAGGCCCAGGTAGACAGTCCCTCAGGCAGCTGGACATGGCCTGTTCACCAGCAGTGCCAGCATCAGGGGTTACCCTCAGTTTCATCTGTCAGAGCAGGAGCTGGAAGGGGCGAGCAGCAGGACAGGTCATGCATCGGCTCCGCGAGAATCTCCAGTTTCCCTGCCCATCTTGGGGTCAGGTCAGAGGGCTGGCACTCTGGCAGGTAGCACCTGGGTAGGTCTTCCAGAGGAAGGTATGAAGGTGTCTGCAGAAAAAAAGCCCCATGTGAATGGAGAGGCAGCAGCTGAGGAGGGCAGCAGCTAAAGCAAAGCCTGGGCTTGGTGGGGGGTCAGCATCCCTGGGGATACAGGGGTCACAGAGCAGCTCTGTGGCTCTCACTGAAGTACAGGAACCACTACAGCTTCCTCTGTCTGCCCATCTTACAGCCTGGGACTCTGCTGGGCCCTGGGTGGGCAGTGGGAGGGAGGGAGGCAGCCCTGGCAAAAGCAGGAATGGCTGCAGGATTGATGTTGGGGAAAGGCTAAAGAGGATCCTGGTGTGGCTGCTGCCTGCAGCCTCTCCAGCTGCACACTGCAGCTCCAGATGCTTTTTAGGGGCTCAGAAAGGGATTCTCCTGCTGTGACCAACTCCAGGCTGCTGGGCCAGCACAGGGTTTCTCTGTTGTTTTGGGTCTCTGTGGGTTTCTGTTTGTCCCCCAAACTCCAGCGTTCCCAGGGGAATCCCCCACTGTTTTTCCCTTGCCAGGCAGACAGTAGGGCAGATGAAGGCTGCGGAGCTACAGGAACTACCTGTGTCTGGGGGCTTTCCCCTCTGAGGATGGCCAGAGCTTCTCCTGAGCTATCTCCAGAGGGACAAGAGCCTCCAGGAGATCCTGGCAGGGATGGCTCACCAGCCAGTACTTTCTTCCTTAACCCAAGGAGATCCCTTCCCCTTGGGACTAGGTTAGTGCCCAAAATTTCACAGATAAAAACATCACAGTTGTTTTGCCCTCTTAAAAAAGAACAAATCCCATCAGGGCCAAGAGGGAAACCTGGGCCTCCTGAGTACCTCATCATCACACTACCCAGTGGGACAGCTTTCTTTGGCAGGTCTTGGGAATTAATAAGGAGCCAAAGGGAGCTGCAACCCAAGAGAATCAGGCACAGCTTTCCTTCCTATCTCCCAAGCTACACCACAGGAAGTGTGCAGCCTTCCAAAAACAAAATTACAGATGAAATAAATAAAGGAAAAGGAGAAAGGAAAAACAAACGGAGATGCACGGCTTGGAAACTGAGTTCCAGCAGGCAGGGGTTAAACCCTGCTATGCCAGCCGGGCTCCTGGAAGCCGGAGGAGAGGGAGAGGGTCCCCAGGCTGCTGCCCGGGCGGGGATGGCAGCGGTGCCCCTCTTCCCTGGTGGGCACCCTCACACGGTGATTTCTCTGTTGTTGTCCCCACCTTTTCCTCCCCAGCCTCAACTTTTTCTCCCCTCTCTCGTGAGCGTGTGAGCCCCAAGCAGCCCAACAAGCCCCCCACCACTGCTCCGCAGCGGCCAGGGCAAACCGCAGCTGTCCCCACCGGGCTGCCACAAGCAATTAAAGCAGGGCAGGCGGAGCGAGGCAAATCAGATTAAATAGCTCAGGGGGTCGCTCGCACTGCAAGGAGATTAGAGGGAAAAAAAAAAAAAAAAAAAAAAAAAAAGAAAAGAAAAAAAAGGAAAAAAAACCTGCTTCCCCACAGAAGTCCTCTCAAGCCCGTGTCAGGGCAAGGAGCCATCCCCATCCCAACGCAATTCCCTCCGCACGGCGCTCGGGATGCGGCTGGCGCTGACGCACCCGCAGCCCCGGCTCAGCGAGCGGTCGTTAGTGCCCCGACTTAATGAGTGTAATTAGCATCACTCCCCAGCAACAGCTTTACCGGAGGGTGCGAGGGGGTTTCCCGCAGGAGGGAAGGGGCACAAGCCGAGGGCAGGGATGGGAGCTGCTGGGGGGTCACAGCCGGGGGACAGCAGCAGCCCTGCCGCCCCTTTGGCATCGTCCCCAGCTGAGCCGGGAGGGGAGCTGCTGGCAGCCTGGGCTGGGCAGCCAAGGCAGGAAAAGGAGCACGGTACCGGTACGTGTGCCTGGATGGGTGAGTGGTAATCGTCGTGCCAGCAGAAGTCCTTGCGATAGATGCTCTTGTACTGGTCCAGCGCGGCAGGCAGCTGGGAGGGAGAGAAGCAAACACAGGGCAGCAATAAGCCTCGGGGGAAACCTTCGAACGGGGAGATACAAACCCAAAATGGTCCCTCATAGGTCAGGAGAGGATGAGCTGTTCCTCTGGGCCACCTGGGGCCAGTCCTTGCTCAGCTGAGCCCCAAGCAGGGTGGCTGGGAAGGTCCCAGACTCTTTTGGCAATGGTTTCTGGGGCTGTTCTTGTCCCAGGATTCCCCTTGCAACAAACACCTTCCTCCTGTCTTCCTCAAACCTCCTCTGAGTGCCCAAATGGCCCCAGGCAGAGCACTAACACAGAGCTGCTGAAATACTTTGATCAGCTGCTGAGGTCCGGCGTCACTCAGGTTAAATCAGCACATGCTTCCATCTTCCATCTCAGTAACATTTGCTATGTGCTTATCACATATTTAGAGAGCTGGCTAATGCCAGTATTCATTCTGCAGAGCCACTGGAGAAACTGTGCAGGAAAGCTCTGCCAGGGGATATAAAGGCAGTGACACCTGCACCAACACCAGAAATCCTTGCAGTGCAAATTTCGGGAGACAGGGGGAGGATTTTAGGGAGAGAGCACTGTCTGTGTGTTTTGGCCCTCAGCATGCACTGCTGGAGCCGGGAAAGCTGCTGAGATGAGCCTTCAGGCTGGCTCCAGCGCTGTTTCTATGCTGAAGCATTAAGTGTGATAACTCATCAGTGATAAATCATCAGTGATAACTCATCAGTGCAAGGCAAGGGCTGGGGGAGGTGAGCTCTGACTGCAGTGTCACTGTGATCTCCACTGTTACACAAACACATCCACCACACAGGGGTGGCTTGGCCAGCCCTGGCAGGAGCTGCACTGCCATGTCCCTGTGGCTGGGGACACTGCAGCAGCACACAGCACCTTGGGGAGGGCTTTGTGTGCCTTGCCAACAGCCACCCACCCATGGCAAGGATATATTTTATATTCCCAGTCCTTTTTTTCCTAACATTTCACTCTTTTCCCTCTCTGGGATTCCCAGACCAATGTTTGCCTTTGGCCAGGATGCAGAATTCCATTGTCATCAGTTCCTATTATCTTCCCTGACCAGCAAACCCAGCCAAACCCACTACTAAAACACCAGTGAGGATGAGAGTCCTGTGTGTACTTCACCTTCCATGGCTTTTCATCTCTTATTATCTCCATGCTGAGCCAGGAACCTGGACCAGAAAAATCACTCAGTTAAAAACCAGCAGACCAGGTTTCTCCTCCATCCCACCTCAAGGGATAAGGGAACTGGAGACCTGGAGCTGGCTACTGGCAGGAGGAAGGGGATTCAGATGGGGCTGGAATAGTCAGATTGGCAGAGTCTGACTGATTTTAGCCAACCTCAGCAAAGTAAAATACACTCAAGCAGGACATAAGGAGATGGGCACCTCAGGGGATGCAGTCTGTTGGAACTCAGAAGGGATGAGATGGAGGCATCCTAGCACCAGCAACCCCAAAGTCACACAGAGGGTGAACTGGTGTGACCCCTCCTGCAACAGGAACATCAGTGATGGGATCCAGCAGGGCCTGTGAGGTCACTGTGTTTCCAGGGTCAAGGGAAAACTCCATTGTGACACCACTGAACTTCAGAACCCTAGAGGCCTTGCTGGAGGAAGGGGAGCCTGAGGGGCTTGTTGTTGGTTCTTGGAGGCAAAGGCACCCAACAATCACGCTGGGGTGCTGTTATCACTTTTCCAGCTGCAGCCAGCCATGCTGGGGACACGTGGCCAGGAGAGGGACAAAGGCTGCCCTTTGTGAGCTCTTGAAGCCTCCCCCCAAATCCTGCTGAAGAGGTGAGCAAAAGGTGGGGAAACTGAGGAGAAAAGGACACTACTTTGTGAGTGTGCTGAGCAGAAGGAAAGCATCCTTACCTCTCTGCATGGAAGGATGGGGAACTATTCAGAATTAGGGCAGGCAGGGTTCTCCACTTGGGCTCAGAGGGTGGCTGAGGACACCTGAACTGTCCCCCTCAGGTGCTGCCATTCTCTTCCTCTGATGAGGCTGCAGGGGATGTTCAAATGGAGTCCTCTGTTCCACGAATAGAGAGGAACACCCCATCAGATACACAGAGCAATATTTAGTCCTTAAAAAAACACCAAGCCTTGACTGGGTTTGGATGCATTTCACCAAAAGATTGATCTTGCCTAATTTTGGGTGTACATGAGGAGGACATCTCCCTCTGAGCTGATCCTTCCTGACCTCCTGGCTCATTTAGGACAATTCATGTGACCAGTGCAGGTACATAGCTGGGGCTGAAATAAATCCAGAAACCAGGGTTTGGTGAGCTGAATCTCACCCAAGAGTCCAATTTCTGTAGCTGCACATGAGCCCAGTGCAGCCACTGGCTCAGAAATTAGATTCTCTGCCACTGCAGAGATGCAAATGACCGTGAATGGTGGTGATGAGGCAGGAAGATGAGAACTCAGCTCCAGGAGGAGAGCCAGTCACAGACCTGTGTTCACAGGCACCGTTGGAATGAGCTGAATTCCATGAGTTATTGCTCTCTGCACACTGTTAAATGTGCAGCTGGAGCCCAAGGATGCTCTGGCAAGGGTTGTGTGCTGCTGACAGCTCTGCACTGGTGTCAGGAGAGAGGAGAAGACCTTTGTCTTCCCTGCATTTTATGCAAATTAATATTAGAATAAATAACGCAACAAGGAAAGAAACTATTTCCAGAAATGTGAAACTCTCATGTTCTCCTGTGCTTATATTAAAGGGATTACACTCCATTTCCTTCTTAATACAGCTAATGCTCTATGGGAAGCCCTCAGGCCAGGGATTAAAGCACTTATTCAATTAATTAGGAACAAACTTCTGCCTTAAAGTCAAACACACAAATATCAGTAAGCTCTTGAGAGTGTCTTCCTTCCAGGGCAGGGAAAATGGATTCTATTTCTGATGTAAATGAAACCAAGCCTGCAATCTAGAATTACCAGGAATAATAAAAAGTTAAGAAGAATCACTTTAAGAATATCACTATTTTGTAATACAGCAGAGTAAAAAACGGACTGTACATCATCTTGAATTCAGCATTGGAACCCTCATAATGGGAAGCAAAATCAGGTCCTACAAGCATAATGTAAATGAGATACAATTTTACGATGTAACATGGGTAACCAGCTCCAAGCCCGGGCACAGCAGCGTTTGGGAATATTTGAAGTTAAGGGTGAAATCCTGGCCCTGGTAAACACAAAAAAAGAAAATGCTTATTCAGTAGGATCAGAATTTAACCTAAGGTGTCTGATTCATTACTTAGATAGGAGACAATTTCCAAAACCTGGCTCCAAATCCTAATCTTTCTTGATGATAGCCTGATCCTTCCTCTTCTCGCAGGCACAGCTCACATGAAATTAAAAGGCATTTTGCCAGAACGGGTTATGCAGGAGCAGCCCACTATTGCTGTTCAGTTTCCCATTTCTTCCTCCCAAATATCAAAAGATGTGGCTGATAGTTGCCAGCATAATCCCAATTAGAAGTGGAGAGGAACCAAACTCGCAGCTCTCACTTTTCTGTGCCTCCAAGAGAACTTATTTGCCTCCTCTTTGCTGATGCAGATATGGAGAAAGCTGTGCCCTGCATGGCTGCTCTCTGTGTAGCTGTCTGCACATCCCTGAGACAGCAGAGAGTGCTGAGGACCAAACAAACACCTGCAGGAGGAAATTACTCTTAAATAACTGGTTTATTTTCACAATACTCCAGGGAGACGATGGCTCAGATTCCCAGAGTCAGGAGCTTAAACCATTCACCTGAATGGCAGTGCCCCTCTTTCTCTAGGCAATGGCAACTCCAAACATCCAGGAAGGTATTCAGAGGGTGCTTTTGGCCTCTCCACATTTGTGCAAAAGCAAAGTACACATCAGCCAGGACCAGAAAGTCAAAGGCAGACATTCATGTGTTTGAGTAGCACCTTGGGAGAATTTGCCAGTGGGCCCAAATGTGTGATTGCTGAGCTCAGATCCTTTAAAATCACATAGGAAGAGTTTAAGTTGGAGTCAAGGACCTCAACTATAATGTAAAACAATGAGATTTGTGCACCTGGCCTGTGCAGGCCCTTCCTGGCATCCTGCTGGTCATTCCCATCTCTGGAAAGTCAATCTCGTAGTCTCAGTAAGACTGCAGTTGTATGCAGGGCATGATGCAGAGATAAATTTTGCCTCAGTTTGGCCCTAAGTTACCATTTTTGCTGTCTTTTCCACCTGAGAAAGACAAGAGTTCTCTCTAAGTCTGTACTCCCTCATGCAAAGTGCTGCTCTAGGCACTGGCAGGACCTGGGGGAACCATCTCAGCTCTTAACAATTCCATGCACAAAAACATGGCCAAGCAGGACATACCTCCCTGTCAGCCCAGCCCCTGGCAAGTGCTCCTTGGGCCAGGAATAAGATTCATTGCCCCCATGAGGATGTTGAAAGAGGGAAGTGATGGGTAAGCAGGACCCCCAGCATGTGGAAGAGGCAGGGTTTAATCTGGGAATCTCCATTCAGGTTATCACCACCAGGACACAAAGTGCAAAGAGGAGACTCTTCTTCAAGGGAGGAGTGTTGACAGCCCATTCTGTCAGCAGGAGGTCAGCCACCCATTTGGGTGTAAAAACATGAACTTTTGTGGCAGTGCAGCACTCCAGCATGGCCACATTTCCCATGGAGTTATTTATTTCATCCTCCTCTCCTGCTTTCTGGATAAATTGGTGGGGCATTTATGACTTCTTGTGAGCAGACACCAGCAGCACTCTTCATCCTAAATCCGAGGCCCCTGTTACTCTCCTGCAGCCACCAAAAGCACTTACAGGACTGAGCCCCCAAAGACAAACTCCTTGTTGCACAGACACTCCTCTGTGCAGAAGACAAGGGCAGCTGGTGAACTCAGTCGTGGTGTTCCAAATCTTTGGGTAATTCTGCTGTAACCTGCTAAAACAATCACTTGTTTGTCCCTGATAATCCCCCAAAAACCATCCATCAGCAGAGGATGGCTGAAATCTCATCACTGCCT